GCTTATAATGTCCTTCATTCCGATGGAACAAAAAAAAAGAGAGTTACTAATATACAATCAAAGACATCAAGATAAAAATACTATTTCAATTTTGTCCAATGATTAATGGGCAATAGCATATTCTCATCATCACATCACTATCTTTTGATTTACTTTATGCCATTATGGAAGACTTAGTAATTATATATATATATGTATGTGAAAAACACTAATCACAGAACATGGTCTTGTTATCACCTTCTATTGATCTTTCAAGTCAATGCACCGCATACATATATACACACATATGCTTGAACAACCTTTAGTTATAAAATGAAGCAGGCGACAGTAAGCAGAAGCACCACCAATGTCCATATATATATATATATGTTAATAATCATTTTTATCGATAAGTAGAACAGACATATGATAAAGAAAGCAAAAAGAAAATAGATTCGAACAACAGGCATACGACGATTGTTACTTAATGAATATATGATGTATAATGTACGCTAATTATTTTTTAAGATTTTTCATATATATATTAAACGAAGACTAATAAATAGATCAAAGCATAAAGAAAAAAAGACGAAGCATATACGAATGAGTTTTGTTTCTTTCTGTTCATCATCATCAAACTAACACCAGCATAACAAAAGATAGAGATCTTGTTAAGAAAAGAAAAATTCATTTAAGCTCATCTTTGTTTTATGTTGATACAAATCGGTAGCGGCGGAATGTTGCTCATCGGATTGTTTAATTTTTTTTGTGCCGACGCGTGTGTCTATATGTCTTATCAGATCATACATTGATGACGAACTTTTCAAGACACTAGAGATTTCTTAGAAAATTTTTGTTTGATCTTATATACGTGCACGACTGTACAAATATACGAACATGATCAAATTACTATTCTAGTAAAATAAACGTATTTAATTGGTAAAGAATTTATCAACTTATTATTGTTCGAAGTTATAATTATTGACAATATTCCTTAGAGACAAAAAAAATGATTTTATATGGGTTTATGATTTGAAAAATTAAGACAGAAAATAATTATGAGACAATTTACTGTTTTGTTTTGTTTTCTTTAATTTACATAGCAATGAAGGAGAGCAATTATGATTTATTCTTCCGTGATATTAAATATATGGTTTTTTTTTCAAATGATTTTCTAGTTACATACTTATAACAATTTTATTATTGGCTAAAGTTTTTAACACATGAGACGATCTTCTCTAAAAATCAAATTTTTTTTAATATTTATGTCGATAATAACATCTAACTTCAATATGAACAATATTGTGCTTTTGTCATCATAGCAATGCGTTAGTTATGAGTTAGAAAACTCTTGAAAAAAAAAGCTAATAAGGAACAATAGTTTATTGAAAAAAATTCTTTAAATTCTCTATATGAAAACAATAACGTTCGCGTAGTTATAGGACCTCATTGATGGAATGCACATCGGCACGACTCAAGCATGATGAAATCCTTCTAAAATAGGAACATATTTGATAAAATCTCATTGTGTATTAATGAAAAGGTTTCGTCAATTTTGCCCTGTCTTCTATAAATTTAGAAATATTTTTCTATTGGAAAAAAAGCGCATTCATAATTACGTTCATGGATTATTCCTTTTGAGTTTGAGAATGTTTTTTTTTCTCAAAGAGATCTGAAGACATTTTTCGAAACCTGAAATAAAAGACTGAATGTGCATTCAACATTGAAGTTAGCTTGAAAAACTTCGAAATACACAAAAAAAAATATTTGATTTCCTTTTTTTTTTTAGTTATTTAACTAATGAAAAGGTCAAATGTTGCCAAGATTTTAGGGTATGTTGACTTTACTGTTCTAAAAATATTCTTGTTATCAACAATTATCTTCTTTTTTCTCAGAGGATATTATCGGCACACCCATAACTGATCCTCCGGTCTTTTCCCCAAACGCCTTCTCATTCTAGATTGATCTCCTGATTAAATTAGCGATTAATTTTTAAATACATTCAGTACTATTGTAGTTGTTTTAGAATATAAACGACAACTCTTATCATAGCTTTAAAAAAAAATATCAATATAGTTTCTTTTGAAAATCTAAGCAAGAACAAACAAGTTATACAATTCTAACAGAAAAATTTAAGCTAATATCAAAAGACAAGTCATTATTTGAGATAAGTAGTGTTAACAGTTGCATCACATTGAATTGCTAAGTCCATCTTACTGATATATTGATTAGAGAACTGTTGCAGCAAAGTGTTCGAGAAGCAAGTCAACATCACTATTTCGTTTTCTACACTTGCACAGTTGTCAACTGTTAAATAAAGTGAGGATGAATAGGAATAATCCATACTATCTGTTTCTTGCTTATTATGGGCGTTTGGAATAAGTGAAATAAACTACTTTCATATATATATGATTGTTTAATATTATAGTTGATCTTTTTTTCTTAGATTATATAAAAACAAAGTATATAATCATCTTATTCGAATAAGACATTGAGATTGCATATCGCTATTAGTTTTTTTCTTCAATCTCAACAGGTACTTTGTCAAAGCTGAAAACAAGTTATAAATAAACTTATGAATAAAATTTAATAGAAAGTAGCCTTTGAAGATCGTGAAATATTGGTTGTTTCAGAATGATAAGCGACCAGGTATATATTGAAAAAACTTAAAAGCTAAAAAAGTTAATATCCATCAAAAATAAAAATAAAAATAAAGACAAATGCATCGGAAGTCAGCCTAAGTTGTATTCTTTTTAGAAACAATATGAATTTGAAATTTGTCCATCATTGTTTGGCACAAAGTTTTGATGATTTCCGCCATCTGCTCCTTGAAAAATGTGTTTTTTTTCTCTGTTTATTATTTCTTTGATTGCGTATGTCAAAATTCTCGAATGAGCTTCATTGTAGCCAATTGTTCTTTCGCTTATTCTGTAAATTAGAATGTCAAGATGTAGGACATGATAAAGTTCCTTTTCTAAATTAAACTTTCTTACTTTGATGTGAAAGAGTACTTTTATAATGAGGACGTCATTGTTTTTTTTTTTGAGAGTTTTTTCGTGACTCTGTACTTTTCATCCATTTCCTACACTTAAAAAAGTAACAATTTAAAAAAAAGGACTTTAAAATTTCTTACACTCTGACATGCTGATTTTGAAAAGTTTTGGCGTTTAAGTTTTTACAAAAATATTTACAAATGGATTTAGAGGAATAAAAGTGAATATGTTAATGTAAAAATACTATGAACATATACAATCAATAAATTTCAAGCACAAAATATAGCTCTCTTATATTCATGTGTTTTCACGTCGAATTATGTAGACCAATTGTAATATTCATTATTAGTATATTCGAGAATTTTCATAACGAAATTCTGTTACATAAAATAAGAGTTTTCGTTATTTGAGAAAAATAACGTTTATTTAGTCCTTATTTTTTATGCAATAAGATTTCTTTATCAAAATTCTTTAACATAATAACAAGATGGAACTTTTGAAGTTCTTTGAATACGATATGAAAACACATAAATACAGAGCTATTGTATCTTATGTTTGGAGTTTGTTGATATTGTTTCTTCATAATGTTGCTACAATCAATTTTAGACTTTTATCTCTATGACATCCAATCGTATAAAGTTTTGTCGAGAATCAAACGCTGAATCTTATGGTCCTTGTGTGGTGAATATTGGCCAAAAATATAATGATATAACATTGAAAATTTTATCATAGCCTCTCCACTACAAGTCACATGAGATTGCTAAAATTTTGAGTTGCTTCCTATATGTTTTAGTTTCGATAGTGTTTCCCAAAACTGAGCAAACTATTCAACGAATTTTGTTAATCAACTACCTATAATTAGAATGAGATATCTACATCTAATTTTACAGAATCTAAACAGTGAAGAAATAGGAAAAATGTGTTTTAAGCATCCATAAAAAGAGTTCATGTTCATGAGACTGATCGAAATTACGACAAATACATGGGAGGATAGGCCAAGAGTTAATGTTTTAAAAATGATATGATCCTTTTTATTCATCAGACACATCCTTTACGGAAATCTTTGGTAATTTCTGAAATGACGTAATTGAAAAATATACTGCTTTCATAAAAAATAGGAAATCTTTTTCCTTTTTTTTTCTACTTGAATGAGCTTTATTAGAGACAATTGCGTCTGTTTTGTTTTGTTTGAAAGAGCAAGTCAAGATGTAGGACATAACAATAATCGTTTTTTTTTTGAATTATTCTTTATTACTTTGATATAAGAACGGTCCATCTAGAATAAAGGCCTCCATATTTTCTCTCGTTTTTATACGTTCAAACTGCGTTTGTTCTCTAAGTTCTCACCATTTGTTTCTCTACAAAATCATTTACAAATAGATATCATAGCAGCAAAAGCAATCAAAATAGTTGCTACTACAGTAATATTTTTACTTTTATCCCTGTGACATTCATTGGTATATGGTTTTGTAGAAGACTAAAGGGTGAATCTTTTTAAAAAAAAAAGTTCAGTTCGAATCTATAAAAACTAGACAAGATATTGAGAAAATGCGAAGACTTTCTTTCTTTGTGAATCATCCGGTCAACAGGTATTTTTAAGATAGGTACATCATTTTTGAAACTTTTTAAAACACATTTTGCTTTTCATCCCTTTCTGCCACTTAAAAAGTTAGTACAACACGCTAGGTATTTTCATTTTCGAAATCGTAAGGATAGAAGCCTGAAAACGTTACCATAAGTTCTTCACTATAGCTCCAACATATTCTGAAGATTTGATTTGATTTGAATGTATCTGACCCAACATCGATTTTCCTATTTATTTATTAATTTTTGTCGAAATAAATTTATACATATACATACATGAACGAAACATCAAAGAAGTCTATCTATTATAAAGATTAAGAGTTACCGATACATTACTAACCATGTTTTTTTTTCTTTTTTATTATCATTGTTCCGAGTTTCATATATAAGAGACCTCACTCATAGTGTTCCCTCTTACATATAAAGTATAATTAATATATAAAGATGTCATGGCCTGAACAAGTAAAATTTTGGATCCTACTGACTTTATCAATACCATCTACAATTTGTTCGATTCTAATTTTTATTTATTTTTATCGAAAACGACGCAATATTTTAATTCATCATCATCTAACACTAATATTAATTATCACAAGTTTTTTACAATTGACAACAAATTTTCCTTTTATTATGGTTTATTACCAACATGGTAGAGTTATTTCAGCATCAAATAGTTTTTGTTCATGGTGGAATTGGTGGGAATATTCAACAAATGGTGTATTATTATTTGTAATGGCTTGGGGTTCAATTGAACGACATTTACTTGTTTTTAGTCGAACAATTATGGATACAAAACGAAAACGATTCTTCTATCATGTATTACCTATGGCATCTGTTTGCATTTATCCTTTTATATTTTATTTTGCTATTATCATATTGAATACATGTAAAAATCGATGGAATTATAATGAAGTAAATACGAAGTATTTTTTTTTTCATTTTTGCAATGAAACTTTTAGCTATGATTTTTACTACTCTTCGAAATTTATCTTTTTTTTTTAAGGTTTTTTGTGAAATACCATGTTATTTGATGGATCAAAAAATTCTAGCAACTTACGATTTTATAGCGGATGTTGTGTTTCCTGTTTGTGCTATTGCTATAGCTAATATAAGTTTAATATTTCGAATAGTATGGCAGAAACGACGCCATCAAGCATTATGGCGTCGACAATATAAATTAACTAGACAACTTATTTTTATCGCAGTTATATATACAGTATTTTGGTTTCCATTGACATTCAATGGACTTGTTATAACTTTTACATCTTCAACAATATTACAAAATATACAAGTAGAATGTTTCTTTTTTCTACTTCATATGGTACCTTCTTTATTGCCATTTATTTCATTGACTTGTCTATCAAATTTTATGCAAATTGTTTTAAAAAAACCACGAATGGTCGTTGTACCGTTACCTCAATAAGTTTTTTCTTTGTTATATTGTAAATAAGTATATACTTACAATAAACTATATGTCTGTGTCATAAAAAAAAGAAAGATACTGAATTATTATTTCAACGTTTTGAATGTGTCTACCTTATATTTTAGAGAAAAAAAATTTCAAAATGTTTAGTAGTTAATACTAAGTTACAATTGATTTGATGCATAGTTGCCATTTACTCTCATTTATAAATATTAATTAAAAGAAAAGAATAAAATTCAAACTATTTTGTTCGACATATAGTTTTTCTTAGATTATTAATTTCAATCAAATTATCTTTCGTATTTAATAATAACAGACAACTCATAAAACTTCTGATGGTACTAATTTCTTTTTTTTTAATAAAAAGAATGTCTACTACTAGTAATTATGAGTGAGAACAACAAGAAACGAGTGTTAATTTTAAACTGCTTGGGAAGAAAAATAAAAGAACAGTAATCCATGTTCTAGCTTTCTTTATAAGAATGGAAAGATCATGACATTCTCAGTTCACAATAAATTTGCCGCTCCTAACAACATGGAAGTATGTGCTGATTGAGTATATTTCACATATCTAAATCTATGAGACTCATTTCTAATGTTAAAATTGAAATATCAACTATAGAAAATTATATTCAACAGCAGCAATCCAATAGAACACATGTTTTGAGCAGTCCTTAATAGTTTCCTGTAAACTAAACTCAAACTCTACTTCCACCAGTGCTTTTAATTGAATGCACTAGTGCATTATTGATGAGTGGTGGTACTTTGAAAAATCAACTTTTGAATAGTTCTTCAAACAGCTGGTGAAAAAATTTCTATGAATTTAAAAAAAATCAGATTAATATTGGTTTTGTTGTAACAATATTCACAAAATCTGATTAAACACACAATATTTTGTCTGAATTCAATGAAATAATAGATTGACAATCGAGTTTTTTTGAGGCACTAATCAATGATAACGGATTTTTCGGTAAATAATCTGTTATACCAAGTAACACTCTAATCGATTTTAAGTGATTGCAAGAATAATAATTTTTACATGAATTATTCGAATCATGTAAAAAATGAGTGAAAAAAATCAGATTAAAATATATTACCCACGCGAACAGATAAATGATATAAACGTTAGGATGGCCATAATTTTTATTTACTACTTCTGATTGAATATCGATCACAGTCATACTATTTTATTCGAATTTCTCACCAAAATCATGATCAAAACAAAGTGAATTTCTTAAAATCAAATATTTTGATAAAAATCAAGTTTAATAGATGAAAATTCATATAATGTCACTAGTCATCAGATTGAAATATAATTGATTTTAATCATTATGTTAATGAAAAATTAGATTTAAATGAGATGAAAATAAAGCCATTATAATTGATTTGTAAGCGCAAAAAAAAAACAATATAAACTCCAATTTGTTTAGAATTTGTCAATCTCTACTATCATTACAAGTTGAAGACGTATGTATGTAAGTTTCGTTCAATATAAGTAGGAAAGGACGGGGGACGTTTTAGGTGTATTTCGGCCCAATTAGAAAGTGAAGGTGGAATTTCCTGAAACTTTAAGGAAATGCTCAACTACATGTTAGTAGTCATTGCTGAAAATTTCAGCTTGATCCGTTGAACTTTTCCTTTACTTCAATCCATGAAGAACGTAGACCCTAAATATTCGTAAAAATGGCCTATAGGGGTAAACTTGTGAACCTTCGTTCTCCATTATTTGATTCAGACCTAGAGTGATTTTTCTAGGGTCACTAGTAATCAGTAGGAGCTACAATATTGCAAGGACATGGGACTTAGAAAAACCTGCCGTTGTATCACCATGAAGTTAGAGAGCTGCACCGGGTTTTCTGGACCCGGTCAAAGAATTATGAGCTATTCTATCGTATCGAATATTGAATCATTATTTGAACATGCATTTTGTAGATACATGTTTGCTCCTTCAATCTATGTAGTCAGAAGTATACAACCACCTTTCATAACGAAGATTTTTTAAATTAATAGGTGCGAATCTAGACCCGGGTTCGGGCCCAGATCCGGCTTGGGCCCGGACCTATTAATTTAAAAAATCGTGGTTATGAAAGGTGGTTGTATACTTCTGATTGCATAGATTGAAAGAGCAAACATGTATCTACAAAATGCATGTTCAAATAATGATTCAATATTCGATACGATAGAATGGCTTATGATTCTTTGACCGGGTCCAGAAAACCCGGTGCAGCTCTCGCTTGATCTATAAGTTGTATTAAATTTGCACATTATTCTTCAACCAATTTTCGTTATCATAATGGACAATTTTAATTTCTTCAATAGATTATCTCATTTTACTTGGTCAATATGAAGATTTTTTCATTTGGTATTATATTTGTCATTCTGTTCAGTCATCTATATAAGAATTGTTTTACTTGATTTACCAAGTTCGAAATGAGTTGATTTAGAAGAAAACTATATCGAAATAGAAAAAAAAAACTGGAAGATCTATTTGAAAATATCTCACTATATTATACTTGTTAAGTCGTGCGATTCGTTCAAATATAACAATCTCTCTTCTTCTTGTTTTCGTTTCCTAGATTTACTTCAACACATTAGTTATCATAACAAATTGTCAATGTCTCACTTTTGTTAAATAGTACAATTTTCACATTTTGATCATGCATTCGACATTTTATAAATTATCATTTACTTTATTTCATAATCATTCGTTACAATATTGAAAAATCTTATTAAATTACTCAATAAAATCCCACGTACACTTTAACATTAGAAAAAGATTAGATCAATACTTTATAAGAAAAAAAAAACATCTAGTTCTTCTTTTATTGAAATTAAGAATAAATGCTTGAAAAATCCATCAAATAGAATTTATTCGTATATAAAAAAAAAATCGTTTAAAATCGAAATCAATCAATTAAATCAGTGACTATAAGTAAATGGAATAAATAATAAAATTTCATATAGTGGTTGATCGAAATAATGACCATCTGTTTCACGACATAATAGACATTATCAAGGAAGAAGATGATCAAGTTCTAGTTCTAGACTTTCCATATAAGGTCGATGGTGGTGCTATTCGACTAGCTATTATTGATTCGAAAGGATTAACAGTATAAATATATATTTCTATTCGATTTGTTTTTCAAGATTTATCTAATTATTGTTTATTTCCTACATTTCCTTCTCCACTTTTAGTTAATGTTTATGAACGATTTTTTTTTTAATCTAAATAACGTTCATCTTTACATTTGATTAAATGTCGTCAATATAGAAATAAACAATCACCATGAAAATAATGATCAAAACGCAAATATATAAAATCTTTTGTTGAGATTCTAACATAAATGCGTTCTGTCACATAATGAACATGTTACATTTAAATAAATTGTTCCAATAGATCGTCTACGATATTTAGCTAAATTGAAATAACAAATAACTTTTAAAAGTCAATCAATTTAATATAAATCAGTAAATAATTGATGATAAAGTAGATTCTCGTTTAAGATTTCTCTTCCTATAATTAGAACAAGTTACTCAGAATATTCGAAAGAACGTATCGGTTGGTTTTTTTCGTTTTCTGTAAATAGATGATTATTTTTTGAAAGTTTTGTCGGGAGATTGAACGTTTTCATCTCTTTTCTCGATTTAAAAACTAATAATATAAAAGAAAAAGAGCTCTATCATGCTTGACATCCTGACATATTCTTGAAGAACAAAAACAAAATCAAATATATAGAATGAAGATCGAAAGAGAATTTTTTATTGTCAAATGAACTATTTTTCTAATCTTTGTTTACTTAAACAAATAATGATTAAAATATTCTATATTAATTTATTTAGTCGTTTTGTTTCAATATGAAATCAATCTCACTTTTCAATAAACGTTACTCAATATATTCGAAATAAATTATCAATTCGAATTCTATAACGCTGTTAGACGTCCCAGTATTAACTCAAAGAATGGATCCTATTTGCTTGTTCAATATTATTCTATTTGAGACTCTATTTAGAACTTCTAAAGGTCTATCAACAGGTTTGTTCATGGATATTTAATATTTGTAAAATAAGCCATTATTTGACTAGGTGAAATATTTGAGATACGTCCGAAAAAAGATAATTATTATCAATTGATTTATCAAAAGACCTTCTCGATAAACAATATTAAAGAAAATCTAATAGAGTTTTGCCCTCAAAATAAAGAAAATAAAAATATTTTTTATTGTTGTATATGCTCTTGAATAATCAATAATTCCTGGTTAGAATTCTTTAGCTTAACAAATGTTCATTATATTTCGTTTTTCCAAAGAGATATTAGATTTTCAAGTAATTTTTCAATTAATCTTGGTCAATATTTATAAAGAAGTCGATAATCATTCTAAAAAAAAAATTTAAATTTAAAAATTAAAAATATACTAATGATCGAAGTGTTTTTAATAGTTTTTCATAATCGTTGTATATGTTGACCAAATAAAATAAAAAGATCTAGATGAGCCTGATTTGTTAATAGATGATACCACAGCTGAACGATGTTCTTTAAAATATGATTGAATTTATCGTTTACGTTTAAAATATTGAAATGTTTCGATCAATTTTATAAAATATTATCTTTTCGACAATATCCATCCAAAAATTGTATATGTCATTGAAGATAAAATGGTGATCTATTATTTGAATAAGATTATATTATTGTTCTAGAATCATTTTTGTTTTAAGCAGTCATGACCGGTTTCGACCTTGCTTAAGGGTCTGATCAGATGACTTTTTATATAGGGACATGTATGACACGTACCTTTCTATTGAAACTAGAAACAAATCTAGTTCAATATAAGTGTTCTATTACTCAATTCATATATGAATAAGTAATAGAACACTTATATTGAACTAGATTTGTTTCTAGTTTCAATAGAAAGGTATATGTTCTACATGTCCGAATATAAAAAGTCATCTGATGAGACCCTTAAGCAACGGTCGAAACCGGTCATGACTGCTTAAAATAAAAATACTTATGAAAATTGATTATTATATAACACATTTAGAAGATGTTGATGAACCTCATCGACCAATATTACTTAATGAATGGAAAGAAGATCCTTCATTATTTTATAAATTAGCTGAACAACAAACAAAAGAATTAGCTAAATCACAAAAAACGATAAATAATATCAATTAGATTTCATTTATTTTTCTTTGAATTTCTAGTCCATAGTCATCATTGTTGTTTTGTTTTTTTTTTTATTTGTTTAATGTTGTATTGTATATTTCTAGATGAATGAACAAATGGCAAATACTACTGCTTCGTGGCGTGTTTTTGATGATATTACATATAAGTATGAAAGTCTTTTTTTTTATTAGAATTCTATATATGAGACAAGTTTTAATTTTATATATGAATATTTCACGATAGAAAATTGAAAAGATTCTCTTGTAAGCTTTGTTTTTTTTATTTTCATTTTGTAGGAAAACAGAAACAAGTACAATAGCTGATTATTCATCTAAATTTCGAGATCCTAGTAGTTCAACTGGTGCAACAATTAAACCATTTGTTGCTATGGCTCCATGTGGAGGACCTATTGGTCAATATTAATTAGTTTTGAATTCATATGATTGTAAGAAAAAACAAAAAAAAAACTCACATGCATATAAATATTTAGCTTTTGTATATAAAAGACCAGGAACAGGATCAAATGATGTTAAATATACAATGATTATACAAAATTTACCCAAACATAATGGGAAATTAAAAGAAGTTAGCAAAAAAAATATATATTATTTAAAATCATTATTTTGTTTTAATTAATATTCTAGTTTGATCGAGGTGTTCTTATACTTGTTGATTGGACAATTAATGAAGATTTATTATTGGTAACTGAAGATGGTAAATATTATATTATGGATATATTTCATTATAATACAAGTAATGATAAATCAATTACACTTAGTGAGGTAATTATTATTATGTAATAACTTAAGCGAATATGACGAGTTCATCACAGCAGTATGGGAGATGTTTCAAAAATACTTTTGCGGCATTGGCAGATTTAAATCTTTTGAAATTTAGGATAATTATATGTATAAATTAATTATTCACTGTTTGTAGTCAAAATGATAATTAAATTTCAATGTTTTGAAAAAAAATGAAAATATGTTTATCAGGATTTATTCTTCTAAAAAAAAATCAGAGTACCAGAAAAATAATCAATGATGCAATGATGACAAATAATCCATACGTTTTCATTACATGATTTTTTTTTTCTGTTGGGAAATTTCAATTTGATTATCGTTCAATTTTGATGAGTTTAAAAATATTTTAAAATAAAATTCGAATTAATAATCATTCTATTAGTTAATCCTCATATCATCGTGCAGACACCAGTTAGTGTGATTTTAATACTATAGAAACATAACAAGAGATCGAACTTCGCCCTTGTCTGTGCGAAGAGTAGTAGAGTATACTGATAACAACAGTTTATCAGAGTCAGTATAGTAGTCCAAAGTGCACGAGAACGTTGAATTTGTAATACATAGTTGCAAGTATTTTGAAAATAGAGAATAATAAGAAAAAAAAGATTTAATAAATCAATATGGCCAGTCATCGGTCACTGTCATATAGGAAGAGTTCGAACTTAAAAGTGTAGAAAGCTAACGAGGGAAGATTCTCAAGTGATCCGCTTCGTTTGTCTTCGTAGTTGGTCCATTTGTGTCCTTGTTGCTTCTTTCGAAAGTTATGAGTGTTTTACTGATTTTCGATCCATTTGTAGGTGTTTACCGAAAACAAATCAAATTTGAGATTTTCTACCTGAAATTTTGTCCATAGATAGGTCTAACGATTCTTAAAATATCCTGAAAATTTCAGCTAATAAGAATGTTCCTTTCTCGAGATATTGATTTTTCAAGTGAACTCGGTTAATGACTCGAAAAATCAATAAAACGATCATAACTTTCGAAAGAAACAACGAGGACACAAATTCTCTTAGAGTTTTTCTTACTACAATAGGCCATATATATATGGATAAAATATGAAGGCTAACGGAGTGAATCACTTGGGAGTGTTTCCTCATGAGTCTACGATTTAAAAGAGAACGAACGATAGTATTTGAAATGAAAGCGTTACTATTCCTGAGTAACATTGAGCGTTCTAGACACGCAAAGTCTTTCTTAGACTGTGTAGTGGAATATATTGTCAAATAAAAACCATCTCTATATTTTGACGACATTTCATAACCAAACTCACTTAATGACTAATTTTCGCAATAAAAACGACGATTGAATATTGGCGTCCGTTTTCTAGGAATATTGCATTAGTATTCGAATTGTGTAGTGTTTTAAAACCATGAAGCGTTTTGTACTGTTTTTATGCATAAGTATGCACATATTTTGAATTAGCATTAAAGTCTGGAATATTTATTTAATCAAAACTCTTTCTCTTGGAACGAAAAAGTTGAAATTTTTCTTTTTCGTTGAATTTCACCATTTGATACAGATTCTGTTGTTGGTGACAAATATCTGATTGCTTTTATCCTTATCCAAACTACGATTTTCAGAACAAGGATGAAATCCGGTAACGATCCGTATTTTCTGAATAGTTGCATTCAAGTGAAACGAAAATCAATGGAAATTTTTATTGATAATAGGTCTAAAATGTCTCTATTGATAGTAAAAGTTTCAAATAATTTAATTTTGTCATTGCTATTGTAACAAACTGGAATTCGCACAGGTCTCATGCAGGGACCAAGTTACTACCCGATTAATCATGATATAAGGATTAAAACATCATCGAAAAATTCAAACGTTTTGTTTTTCTTTCAGTTCCTTCTGCTAGAAATATGAGCATATATTCATAGGGACTAAAACTGCACATTCCTATGTATTCAGAATATTCTAAGATAACTACGCGTGATTAATTAGTTTTTTTTTCTTAAATTTAGTCTGTATCAACAATAAGTAGTGCATGTACATTCAAAACAAATGCCGGAACAGGATTAGTAGCATTAAGAAAAAATCAAGATGGTTTTGTAGCTGTAAAAAATGTTTATCTTCCAATTATTCAAACAATATCACTTAGTAAATATTTCTTAGTCTACGATTTTATTTTGTTCAAATCATAACTTTATTTATAGATTTGGATCCTCGTTCAGTAATATCAGCATGGCGTGTAATTGATCATGCTGATATAACACTTGCTTATGCTTATGAAAATATTATAGTAACATGTAATGCTATATCATCACGACGAGATTCAGTATTAAAAATAATTTATTTTTCTGAAAGTTTTTTTTATTTTATTTTTTTCCTAGCAAACAATTCCTGGTATTACTGATACAATTGTTAAATTAATTTCAAGTAGTAATTATAAAAGTATTGCTATGTTAAAAGATAATGGTGATGTACTAATTGGATTAAAAGAAAATCTTGGACAATCACAAGCAGTTACATTAAAATATACAAATAATAATGATAAAAATAAAATTACTGATATTGCTTGGTAAAATAGAAATTCTAGAAAGAAAAAAGAAATAAAATTTTTCAATATAAACTTTTATTTAAAGGTGTGGATCAGATACTGTTATTGATATTCGATCAAGTTCAAAAACTTGGTTTGATTTACTTATTATTAATGGAAAACATTCACAACCAATGACGTTTGTACCATTTTATTTGCATTATTTATTTTAATTATTTTGTTTTGTATTCTTATAGTGAAAAAAGTTAACAAGCAATTACAAATGATACGTTAGTATTAGAATATTCTTTTATCATAGAATTCAAGTATCTACATCTTTTAATTTGTTGGATTGATATTATTTCATTTTTTCTAAATCAAAAAAAAATAAAGGAAAACCACGCATTTACATTGTTGAACTATGTATATGAATAAGGTCTAGAGCCTGTTGAATTGGTTTCGAATCCAACAATTTTGCACCCAGCGATAGAGAGCAGCACCGGGTTTTCTGGACCCGGTCAAAGAATCATAAGCCATTCTATCATATCGAATATTGAATCATTACTTGAACATGCATTTTGTAGATACATGTTTGCTCTTTCAATCTATGCAATCAGAAGTATACAACCACCTTTCATAACCACGATTTTTTAAATTAATAGGTCCGGATCCAAGCCGGGTCTGAACCCGGACCCGGGTCTAGATTCGCACCTATTAATTTAAAAAATCTTCGTTATGAAAGGTGGTTGTATACTTCTGATTACATAGATTGAAGGAGCAAACATGTATCTACAAAATGCATATTCAAATAATGATTCAATATTCGATACGATAGAATAGCTCATAATTCTTTGACCGGGTCCAGAAAACCCGGTGCAGCTCTCTACCTCGGGGACTCACGACAGGGATTCCCCAGGGATTTCGTATTTTTCAGGGGACTCCCCGGTAATTTCGTTGGGGAGAGTCGACTCGGGAAAACAACTGTTTACGTTTTAACGAGAGTTGCCAATTTATGTCTTGTGAAATTTATCGACTGAGAAAACAACTAAGATTAATTTTATTGAAAAAATAATTTTAATATCTTTATATGAGAATTTTATTTTATTTTAAGTATAATTTCTGGTCATTTGAATTTAAAAATGGATCTAAAGTATAGAATTGTAGTTTATTTTCAAGTTTAAGTCGAAAAAGATTCAAGTTATGATAAGTATACATCATGATATAAAAAAAAATATTTTTTTAAAATTTTATTATTTTTTGCCAATCGAAACTGGTTTAGGGGCCAAACAGACTAGACAAATTAAAAGTGAATTGAGGAATGTGATTGGTGTTGCTACGTGTAAAAATCAATCACATTCCTTAATTCACTTTTATTTTTTTCAATCTGTTTGACCCCTTATTCTTCCAATAACAACAGATTGTTTATGTGCAATCAATGTGACCAATCGCAAGAGTATGTTCATTAT